TGGGGAATTCTGGGAGTAGAAGTCCACTCATCTTAAAGTGGCCAAGTTTGGACAACACTGGCATAAAGCATCCGCCTTTGCAGGGTGCTTGAAACCAGGGGTGCTGGCGGGGGGATGCGTGTCAACAAGTCAAGGTGGCACCCACAAACGTTCAGACGAAGCCTTGCCCCTCTTTATGTACTTCAAACAAATAAGGATCCGTTTCTTTGTTTATGGATTCTATTTACAAGCTGCCTAAGTACAAAACAGCTCAAGGCAACGTGGAAAAACACATTTTAAAACACTTGAGTAAACCAAGTAAAACGTAACCAATAATCATAATAAAGGAACCGCAGAAGACCATGTCAGCAATTAAAGGATTAAAAAAAAGAATGGCTTCTTTTGGTTTTCAGGGGATTCTTGGATCAGGATTTGCCCTTAAAGTACAACAGAAGCAGCGCCAGAAACATTTCAACAGGCAGATTCCTGCAGCGGCATCTCTAATCCAGGTAAATACTGAATCATAAAAGAAGAGAAATAAGTTGAACCATCGTGACAAAGAGAGAAATGTCATGTCCATCTGGGACCCGTGTGGGAGGGGGGAGAGAAGGGGATTCCCGTGAAAGTGTTGCACCCCCATGTTGGAAAAGCAAAATAAATAAATGCAAATGAAACCGCTCGCCTTGAGCCAGTTGTGAAATAGCAAGGCCTGCTTTTACTCCCTGCAGACTTTGTGGAGGAGTTACGCGGCGGAGAAACCTCATGGCTGTCTGGCCACCTGGAAAATCTACGTTATGTCAGCTCAGAACCCGAAGAAAACAGCAGCGCCGTCCAGCCCAAACCTCCGAAAACAGGTCAGAAGGAGCTTTACTAGTTACCTACCTTTATGAACCGTTTTTCCTCAGGTGAGAAACCCCAGAGTTCGATCCTCGCAACTCTACTGCAGGAGCAGGCCAAGTGGTACATTTATTCACATAATGCAGTGTTGTCCAAACTTAGCCACTTTAAGATGAGTGGACTTCAACTCCCAGAATTC